AAATATTTTTCCCTGTTTAATGTGTCGTTCAAATAACGATGTGATTGTCAAATTTTCTTTTCAAATAATAATTTGCAGAAGATGTCGTTATATCAAAATACAGTAATAGAAACAGGTATAGGCGGTTGGGTCTTCATTCAAATATTGAGTACAATTTTTCGATTAACTTTTTTTTACAAAATTAGGGAAATTGACTATTGCATTTGTGGGATGCATTTGTATGACACATTAAACAAGGAAAAATATTTCGTTGGCGAGTTGTCGCAGTGGCGAGTCGTCCGTTGGCGAGTTGTCGCATTGGCGAGTTGTCCCGGTGGCGAGTTGTCCCGTTGGCGAGTTGTCGCGTTGGCGAGTTGTCCCGTTGGCGAGTTGTCGCCTTGGCGAGTTGTCCCATTGGCTAGTCGGTCGGTGGCGAGTGGTCCGGTGGCGAGTCGCCCTTGGCGAGTTGACCGTGTCCCATATAATCTTAGTCACCATCTTCTAGAAGAAGGATAGTTGTATTAGTGCTGGAATACGTCAATAGTAGCCATTTTTGATTTTACACATACGATTATTGTACTACTCGTTCTTTAACTGAAAAAAATTAATCTAACCTAGTGCCTCATCCCAATATGAATCTTAAAATACCTATAAGGGCAAAACTTTTTGTAATATATAGCAATAACTTGTACAGTTCAGGTCTCATGGTGCATTTATATGTATATGGTTGTTATAAAGTAATGGAACAAGGATCTCCTCTTGAAACGGTTCGAACTTTGAGTTAAAGTTTGGAGGACTACAATGAGACATTGTTACGCATGTTCCAGACAGAAAAAGAAATCTCTTTATTACCCCAAGTTTGAGGGCGGTTATTTAAAAAAATTCAAGGCGGCCGACCGTCGCGCTGAAAATTGGGATAACTAAGAAGTTTCTTTTTCATTCCGAAATTCATTTAATTCCTCCGCACCAATGAATATCTCGAACCGTTTCAGCAGGAGAGCGTTGTTCCATTACTCTATACTTTATAGCAACCCTGTATACTACCATAGGTACTATAACATGCATAACACAATACTGGGAAAGTGAAGCGATACAACCTTAACATCATCTAAGGAATAAATACAGTATATTTGTGCTTAAATAAAGTTGAACGTGTTAATAAGGATTAAATGCTCTCGCTAGTTCTGTCATATCAATCTCGCTTTAAATATTCTCATACGGCATACGTACGTTATAGCTTTAAACTCTCTTGATACCCTTTAAAAACGTATAGTAGGAATATGCACCTTTTAATAACACAGAATCCATGCGTTATATGTTAATCATAAGTTAAATTACTTACAGTAACAAAGGTACAGATTGAAAGCCGTGTAAACTTTCCAACAGTAAATACTACTGAGTGTTGGTAACGTCCAATGAGAATTATCAGAGCTTTTTGGAATTTTAGATCGGTTCCTATAAAGTCAACGTCGTAGTAAGAATAAACCAGCTTTTCACTTTCGGTTACAACTTTTTGGGCAAGATAACAATCCCCAAAAGGAAATAATGGCGATTACGGATAAATAAAGATAGAAAATTCCCTCTTCTGCGTTCAATTGTGAATTCTATGGATCAAAACTTTATAATTATTCTTTGATATGTGTCCACCTGCCTCGATTACCACAGCAAAAGAAATGCACATTAGAACCGACATGCTTGCGAAACTGGCTAAAATGCATTTGTTGAAAACCATTTCTACTAAACCGCAAAGTGTATTTAAGGAAACATGGTAGGAAACCACTCTCCCCAACTGCCTCTGCAAGTATCGCCACGGGATACTCTCATTGGGTACGTTGGGATGTTCAGTGCCGTTTTGACTACAAAAATCGTCTCTGCCCAAGTTCACCATATTTTTTAGCTCCATTCTTAAACTTGTAAAGTAGAACTTGATTTGTAACAGAATGCATAATTTTAATGCATCCAGCACTACGTATTCGTATGCCATGGCGTAATACACTGCTACTTCAAAGATGAAACAACCAGTCCAGGTATAATTTACTGCCCAGCTTGGTAAGGAATTAAATGGCATGACGGAATTTTGTCCATAAAAGTACCAACTAAGAATGCCTGTGCCAACACATATTGTTGGTATAACGGCTGATATATAGGCCTGTGTGTAAAAAAAGTTTCATTTTTACATAAAATCTAAACCTATTACAGCTTAGAAATAGACACGAACTGGATCGACATCTGCCATTGATGTAGTCTTACAACATAAATTTACTGAATTCGAAAAACAAAGAACAGTTAAAGCTTTACCATCTGATGAATATATCAAAGTAAACCGTGTGTCTGTTCCAGTTAGTACCTATATTACCTATTCTTGGTAACATATCGTACCACTCTATCAGAAGTTTTGTTTAGTTCCGCCTGAGCTTTATCTGCCATTCTTATTCCAATAGTCGGAAAGGTTTCCAAGTGATCAAGTAGTTTTGCGAGATTAGTTCTTTGCGACCTTACCATGGTAATACGTGAAATACCTAGAAAGGTAAACATATTAAAGACATCCAATGTACGTAACTCAATGTACAAAAACTCACAAGTTAGCATTGCAAGAGCATACAGGATGTTCTTGTTACTAATATTTTCTGCACTCCACAATGCAAGAAACACAAATGCACAAAAAAGAAAATATCCAAATCCAACAACACAAAGAGCAATTTTGTCAAGCTTGTCTACTTTTTGGCAGACGTTAAAACCTATTAGTCTCAAAAGGAGTCTCATTTTTGAGAAATACTTCACGCTTTGAGAATTGTTGCTCATTGCACTAGACGCGTTACATCGAACAGCGGCACATTGGTAATGAACAGTTATATTTGAACCATAAGCCATGAGGATGATGCATATTGTCCGAAATTAAATATTTATAGCTAATTTTCTTTGTGAAAAATCGATTCATCTAGAATAAAAGGTAGCATTAGAAAAGCCATGCATATAGAATGCACTTTATGATATTGATAATAGTAGAGAAAATTAGACAGTCGGTTTTTCTTAAATGTGAACTTACAATGCAATTATCCCTATGTACAATTTAAAAAAACATCAACCTAATACATAATTTAGTGCTTTTAGATTGCCAGTACTGCATGATGAATTAGATGGAAGTTGATTGGGCGATTTTTGCACTTAAAAACAAACACAAGCGTGTGATGTTACAGTATCTGGCGATTTGAAATTAGAACCGTTCTCGCTTTTATGCATTTGATTTATGAAGAGAAACACAAGTTACGCCAATGGAATTGGTCACCGCGCGTCTTAACAATTCGAATTGTACAAGGACGTCGTAAGTGATTGCGCTTCATGATTTTCAAGCTGGCGATGTGTTAGTCGACGCAGCACTATTATTAGTTAGGTGGTTTGGAGTGCGTGCGTTTATTCAAGACACTTAAGGTAAAGTTTACTTTTACTTTTCTTTGTAAATTTATCATAAAATAAGCAGGTTGTTGGGCATTTGTTTTATATTGTTTTTTTTTTAATAATGATTTTATCTCGGATATTATGGTGCTCCAGTTTCGTTTCGTTTTTACTGCTTTCTAGACTTTGGTTTTTTTGTCCTTATTAAATGTATTTACAAATATGTTTAAAGCGAAGTTCAACTTCAGTACTGGAAATATAACAAAAAGAAAAAGAAACTATTGTAACGAAGTTGGTCTTCCACTTAACCTGTTACATTCGCTATATTACATAACAGAGTTTTGTTTCTGAAGATGCCTTTCACATTCGCGATAGCAACTTTCTTATTCTAGATAGAGCACCCTGTATTTTATTGCATTTTCGAAATCTACATGCAAGTCATTTCGTTTGATACCACATTTCTCTATAGCATCAAAGGTTTTCAAGTTATTCAATATTTTGACTGCTTTTTTTAGGGCCCTGTACCTATGACTCCATTAACTTGAATTTCAAAAAATCTTTCAAAAGTAACAATACTGACTTGATGCTACATGAGAATTATTTAAATTTTGGTCGCGCTTCTACAGGGTTTTAAAACTAATGGTCAATTTTAATTTTAACCTTTAAAGGTTGATTTTTTCAAATACAAGTTTTATTTTTTTGCACTTTCAAATGTCGAAAAAAATTCTGCATCGATCATTGATCACATTCCCTATACCTATCTATTATATGATTCTCGTTTTATTTCAGATTTTTTAAAACCGTGACCGTTATGTAATGGTATATTTGATTTTAGACAAAGGTGCTACCTTAACTGCTTCCTCTTTATTGTAGTACTTATAATTTGTACCTTTAACTGAACAAAAAAATTAATCTAACCTAGTACCTTATTACATATTTGCACTTAGGATGATGAACAGTGTAGTTGAAGAATCTTAAAATATAAACTGATACTGCAAAGATTATTGCAGCGAACATTCCAGAAATTTCCATAGTCATCGGCAATAAAGACCGAAGACGGATGTGACGTAATATTTCCGAGAAGTATGACGTGCCTTTTAGAATAATCCGGATGCGCTCCAGAACATGTGGGAAAGAGAGGGCGTAAATTAATTGTAATAAATAACCCACGTAATTAAATTTCGGTTACATTATTTTTATTGACAAAACTTTTTGTAATATATTGCAATCACTTATTCAGTTCAGTTCTCATGGTGTCATAAAGTAATAGCACAAGGATCTCCTGCTGAAACGCTTCGAAATATTGATTTGCAGTTTGGAGGATTTCAATGAGAAATGTTTCGGAAGGAAAAAGAAGTTTCTTCATTACCCCAATGTTTAGGCAAATCAATATCTCGAACCGTTTCGGCAATAAAGCCTTGTTCCATTATTTTATAGCAACCCTGTATAATACTACTATACTATAACGTGCATAAAGCCATACTTTTCTTTAAGGAAAAGTGAAGCGAATTAACATCATCTAAGGAATAATTATACAGTACATTTGTGCTTATATAAAATTAACTACACTGTTTATAAGGAATAGCAATAGATGCTCTAGCTAGTGACAACTGTGATATCAATGTCTCCCTAAATACTCTCATGTTCTGCTCACATAAATTATATGCACGAATCCTAAAAGCATTAAACTCTCTTGATACCTTTTAAAAACATATAGTAGGAATATACGCCTTTTATAATCTGAAATAAAATACACACGTTACGTTAATTATAAGTTAAATTACTTACAGTAATAAAGGTACAGATTGAAAGCCGTGTGAACTTTCCAACAGTAAATACTACTGAGTGTTGGTAACGTCCAATGAGAATTATCAGAGCTTTTTGGAATTTTAGATCGGTTCCTATAAAGTCCATGTCGTAGTAAGAATAAACCAGCTTTTCACTTTCGGTTGTAACTTTTTGCGCGAGGTAACAATCGCCAAATGGAAATATGGCAATTACGAATAGCAGATAAAAATAGAAAATTCCCTCCTCTGCCTTCATTTGTAAATTCTATGGATACGAAAGTGGTGATTACAAAATTGGTTTGATGAAGGTTTCCGTTTTTATATATTAGTTGTAATATTGAAAAAAGTTACCTTGGGGTGGTTGCTAATATACAGTCAGTTTTTTTAAGACTGGGTATAGGATTTTACATGTTAATTTTTCAGCCTCCTGTTACCTTTCATTTTTGTGAAAATTAGAAAGCCTAGCCCTGTTACTGTTATTTAATTTAATATTAACGTTTTCTAGTCATTTACTTCATTTTTTGGAGTAATACTCTGTATAAAGCGAAATTGTGGAATGAAAATAACTCTCTTCCTGAAACAACTGCGCTATTGAGATCACATAACACTCACGGCACTGTACAGTACAAAACATTAATTCCCTAGCAGATCCCCAAATACCACATCTACATAATAACCACCAAATAATCCAAATTAAACATTAGACCACATTAAATCATAGATAAAAACAAAATTTCACTATTCCATTCGAAAATGCCGGCCCGTGTGGCGCAGTTCAGTCAAAGCTAGACTGTGGTGCTAAGGGTCCCTGGTTCGAATCCGGGTTCGGGCATGGATATTTGTAAATGTATAGTGGGTTGGGTTGGTAGAGCAGCCTTGGCTGAAACCCGGCCCACTCAAAAATAAGGGCAAAATAAAATAATAAAAAAATCAATTGACGGTATGACATAATATAAAAACACTAAAATTACTCATGACATGACAAACTGTTTAACAAGCCTGGATATAGTAGACGCCGAAATCTGTAGCTTTTAGAAATAAAATTGTATAGTATTAGTAGGGTAACTTTTTTCAATACTCGTATAACATAATTACTATTAGATATGTGTCCACCTACCTGGATTATCCTAGCCAAAGAAATGCACAGTAAAACCGACATGTTTGCGAAACTGGTTAAAATACATCTGTTGAAAGCATTTCTACTAAATCGCAAAGTGTATTTAAACAAACGTGGTAGGAAACCACTCTCCCCAACTGCCTCTGTAGGTAACGCCACGGGATACTCCCATTGGGTACTTTGGAAAGTTCAGTGCCGTTTTGGTCACAAAATTCGTCTTTGGCCAAGTTCACAATATTTTTCAGCTCCGTTCTTAAACTTTTAAAGTAGAACTTGATTTGTAACAGAATGCATAATTTTAATGCATCCAGTACTACGTATTCGGTTGCCATGACCCAATACACTGTTATTTCAAAGATGAAACAACCAGTCCAGCTATAATTTACTGCCCAGCTTGGTAAGGAGTTAAATGGCATAACGTAGTCTTGTCCATAAAAATACCAAGTAAGAATACCTCCTCCAGCACATGTTGTTGGTATAACGGCTGATATATTGGACTGTGTGTAAAAAAGTTTACTTTTTATATAAAATCTAAACTTATTACAGCTTAGAAATAGACACAAACTGGATCGACATCTGCCACTGATGTAATTACAATATAAATTTGCTGAATTACCAAAAGCACAAAACAACGAAAGCTTTACCATTTGAAGTAAATATAGCAAAGTAATACCGTGTGTTCGTTCCAGTTAGTATAGAATTCTTGGTAACATATCGTACCACTGCAATTTTTTTTAGTTCCACCTGAACGTTATCTGGCATTCTTATTCCAATAGTCGGAAAGGTTTCCAAGTGATCGAGTAGTTTTGCGAGATTAGTTCTTTGCAACCTTGCCATAGTAATACGTGAAATACCTAGAAAGGTTAAGATATCAAGGACGTTGCACGTAACTCAATGTTAAAGAACTCACAAGTTAGTATTGCAATACCATACATGATGTCATTATTAGTAATATTATCTGCACTCCACAATGCAAGAAGCACCAAGGCGCAAAAAAGAAAATAACCAAACCCAACCACACGAATAGCAATTTTGTCTAGTATGTCTACTTTTTGGTACACGTTGAAACCTATTATTCTCAACATGAGTATCATTTTTGAGAAATTCTTTACCCCTTGAGAATTGTTGCTCATTGTATTAGACGCGTTACATGTAACAGCGGCGCGTTGGTAGTGAATAGTTATATTTGAACTACATGCGATGAGAATGGTGCATATTGCCCGTAATTAAATATTTAGGGCTAATTTTCCCTGTGAAAAATCGATTCAAATGAGGCCTGGAAGGTACAATTAGGAAATGCAAATAGAATGCATATGCGATATTGATAATAGTCGAGAAAGTTACACAGTGACTTTTTGTTAAAAGTGAACTTACAATGCAGCTATCCCCATGTACACTTAGCCTTTCTAATACCGGGTGGAGTCAAAAAAGACCACAACTTTACTGTCTCTATTAAATTATATTAATAATGTTATTAAAATGTAACTCCGCTTTTTTACATTGTTTCTTGCAGTTATAGGTAATAAATAAAAAAACCTGAATTATCTTTTTTTACTATTCAAGATATTTTCAAAAATGGCCTATCGAGTCTTATTTGACCCCCACCTGGTAACAAGGCTACAAATTAAGCCACAATACTTTTTTGTGATATATTGGGATTTGATTTATCTTATTGTGGATTAAAATCCCACTCAAAAATAAAGGCAAAATAAAATAATAAATTATCTCCTCAGTAATTTATTGAATGAGCTTTTGCATTCTTGAGACTGCAATTGTATTTAATTATGGGACGTATTGAGCACTATAATCGCCCCTAATTGAGTATATATTACATAATTGTGTCACATCCTGTTCTGTTGCAACTAGTGGTTGATTTGTGGGGGATATGGGTGAGCTTTTTTCACCTTCACTATGAGGATCTCGTAAACCGCAAGAGGTTGAAAGCCGCTTAAATGGGAAAAGATATGTAGAATTTTACGTTGATTAATTTGCCCATTGAAAGTTTCTTGTAGCTCTATGCAAATAGCGAAGATACGGTTAAAAAAAGGTCATTTTTGAGAATGCGCTGCCGTTCACTTATTTTCAAAGATATCTAAAAATAATTTTAACAAACCCTACTAAAATAAAATTTTTATGACCTGTGGGTTTCGAGTGAATCACATCAATTTTCTTATTTTTTATGGGCTCGAATATGGATTTTTATGTCTATCGATAGATAAACAAATTGCAAAACCGGTGATACTATACACAGCGAGATACACAGCATTTAATCTGGGAATTAATCTAATTCATTTTTGCTTGGAAGTTCACAATGTATTTCTTAAGGTAATAATTCCATACAAGACAAAAATTAGTTATTTATTAATAAATAAGGGAAAAATGTATTAGATTTTAGCTCGAGGTTATGTTGTCTCCCGACGCGAAGCGGAAAAAACCCCCCAACTTTTACAAATCCAAGGCGTTAATAGTTTTAAAAAAGTGTCGAGGTTGATAGTAAATTACCTATACTTAGTTATTTATAGTAGGTATACTCTATCCTATTGCAGTGTCGCAGGTAGGTATAGGTACACTACAAAATCGCGTGCCCGTTACATCTATTATTTGACACCAATTATAGGTGCGAGGCATTTATTGTCAGGAAACTTTTGTTCAATGTTAGATTGATACAAATACCATTTGTTTTATCTTGATAGTTCGCCACGTTACTATTATACCAAATCAATTATGAGGTAAGGTATCGATCAAATTTGATATTTATTAATTAAAATAGAAATTGTACGAGATTCAATTATCCCTCAGCTCTCTCCAATCGTATAATGCTCCGTTTGGAGTTTGTGGAGTGAACACGGTTTCATGGTACAAATATTTACACTTTATTTGCGGCGGTTTTCTTAACTTGCTCGCAATTACTCGTTATTTTGGTAAAGGTTTCCTAACAAACTGAACGTAGGTACGCCATTTTGCCGTGGATGTTTCCCTTTACGAAATAACAATAAATTTTTCAGGTTCGTGCCGGTGTGAAAAATCTTCCTTTTTCTCTCTTCAAAGTACTTAGGACTTACCTTCTGTACCTCTTTAACCCGCTAGCTCAGATAATAAAATGGGTGCAAATAGGAAGATAATTCGTTCTATTCTAGCTCACGGTATAAAATTCATTAATCATAAAAACGTAACCAAAATTTGGAAGAATGTTATTTTGACGTTACTACTCTCATATGCTTCCGAGATTGGTATGTAAATGCAACAATTTGGGTTTCCTTTAAACGCAAACTTCTTGACCTCCTTGAGAAATTACAGAGAATTAACATTAATTATCTTTAATACCTTTATTTGAAAGTCAATGGATTCAAAACATATAAATATCTCCGCCCTTAAAAGAACGGTAAAGCTTAATAATCAAAAATAACGGACATTTCCTTTAACTAGTACCTTAATCAAATTTAACTGTTATAGGTACAATCCCCTAAAATACATAAAACCCCAAAAGTCAAATATAAAATTGTTCAGATCGATCCAAAATACGCAAACTTCACGATTTAATCAAGTTTATCAAATATAAAACTGCAAATTCTACCTTAATTCGTCTCGGTAATGGCGTTGCTTCTTATCTAATCGCCTTACATCCGCTGGGAACAGGTTGGTGACCTCGCATTCCAGGCGTTTGGTTTTGTCGTTACAGGAAATCAAACTGGTGGTGGTGGACTGCCAAATTTCCCCAAATCTAATCTTCTCAATGTGGAAATACCCAAAAATACTTGCTGGCTTTGCAAGCAAAACGCAAAGCTAACTTAAACAAGCGCTGGCGGAAAACAATACGCCGGCGGGAAAAACTAACGCTGCATAGGCTCTTCTTCCAGGCTGGGAAACAAACTACGTTGGCACGCAGACCCCAAATTCCACTCTTAGATAACGATGTGGGCGTAAAATATCTCGATAACTTTATTTACGCTATATCAATCTTAAAACGTTCGGCGACGTCACACTACCACTTTTGATTTTTTGTTGCGTATTCAAATCGTAGTACGCTAACTGCGTATACCGCGTACTTCAATTTTCCAGACACTAATCACCACCTTCTCTACTCGATGGTTGAACGCCGACTACTTGCACTTTTTTACTCCGCATAAAAATTCCCCTCGCACCGTATTAATTGCATTCATATCAAAATGAAACAAAAGCACTTTAAAAATAGAATCTGTCCTTTGCACTTTATATCTAAGTTACATTGTAATCAAAAAATTCTTTCTAGGACGTAAAGAATGTGTAAATTTGGTTTTAAAAACTCCAACCCATTACATATTTTAGAAGCGTTTGATAAGAGAGAAGGTGGAGGCTATCTTTAAAGATTTTGCCAAAGTCCACCATACGCAATACATACCTAATGTGTTGCTCTACCTATGCATTGACCCCAGGCCAAAAAGGACCAAGCACAAAACACTACAATACCTACCTAGCTCTTCAATTTTACCTTCTTTCCGGCACAGATCCTCACCCCGGTACAGAAGAATGATTCAATTCTGACCTCGATTACTTTCTTAACTCCCAGTGGGCAAGCTCTAAATCTTCAAATTCCAAACGAACTTTAACAAAGTTTTGACCAACACTCAAAATAAACTTTGAGAAGAATCCAATAAAATTAATCGTGATTTGAACATGAAAGTTCTTTGGTCGTTATTCTATTATCGTCCTCGTATTTTGTTGATCGATAATGGCCGTTTTTAACTCTTGGAGGGGGTTTGACTTTCTTGTATACACTTACGCTTTAAATAACTCCAAAGAAATAAGTCCAACGGGGTCAAATCGCACTATCATGGGGGCCAGTTGATGTCAATTTTTTGGGAGATATGTGTCCACGGAACTTCTCGTGCAGAATCGGACCGGACGACCATGTGTTTCCGATGTTATATACACCACGGTATGCAGTCAAACTGAACTTAGACAACCCCAATTCGCTTGAAGCTGGAGTGCGAGAGCGGCTCACTAGTGATAAAGATGCACCTACTATCAATGACACCTTTGAACCGAGAAAGTTCACAACCAATCAAGAAGATATCTGATTTGAAGAAAATTTGAGTGTCAACAAGCTTTGTGACCTAAAGAAGAAAAATGGTTGCAAGTTTTT